ATTACATGCATTAAGTTTAGTACATGCATATTTGGAGAAATTTAAATTTAAGAGAAACAATTTATATTTGCTTGCCCCTAACCTTAGAAAGGCTTAGAAGGATCCTATATAGTATTAGAATATGAGACTTTAATAAAAGAAAAAAAAATTAAAGGAAAAACCCTTGTGTAGAAGTGGAAAATCCTAAATTAGTTCATTTAACTACAAAAATAAAAATTTAAAAATTTAAATGAATAAATTTATGAAAAATGGTAGATAGCTCAATCTAGCTTGGGTTTTAAAGTTTGGAGGATTAGAAGGACATTGAAGTGGTTTTTAGGGTTAAAAAGAGAGTTTTGCTCGAAAGGGATGTAATTAGAATTTATGAAAAAGATGAGGGGCAAAATGGTATTTTCCTTCCATGAGCTATTGTCGGCTGAAAGAGGGGATATTTAGGCAGTTTTTATTCCAGAAATTTCTACCAATTTCGTGCATGGAGAGAACTAATAAAGAATGAGGAGGAAATAAAAAAATGAAGGGAAGAAAAGTCAACAATTTTGTCTAGCCAATTATGTTGTAGCAAATGGAGAAAAAACAAACATAAGAGAAGTGTGTTAAGCTGGGTTGTCTAGAGTTTTCTACACCATTTTCGTGCAAGATAGAGAGAGAAAACCCAAGGGAGAAGAGAAGAAGAAGGGGAGAAGAAAATCAAGAAAAACAAGTTAAGAAAATTGGTAAAAATTTTAGGAAACTTTTTTATGTAATTCTTATTGTAGATTTTCATGTTATATTTATATTCCTTCCATTTTCTTGAAGAAGATAAGTTTTTAAAGGGGTTAAGTTGCTGAAATTTATATGAAATGAACAATCTAGAGAGAGAAGAAACCCATGATCATGCTAGTCTTGGATGAAATGTGTTGAAAGCTTGAATTGGTTTGAGAAATCCTTGTTTTTGTGAATTCATATGAGCCTTCTATACTAGTTATGAGGCTCAAATTAGGGTAAAGGAAGGGTGGAATTTCGTGGGTGTGAGAAAAGAGGGAGAAAATTGAAAGAAAAACAAGAAAGAACACAAATGTGAAACATGTGGTGGCTTGCTGTATTTTTTTGCAAAAAAAAACCCTCACTTGGCTGAACCTTTAGGGCTAGTAATAGGCTAGATTTTGGTTCAATTTCAATGCTAATGAATGACTTAGGAAGCATACAAGTTAACTTGAAAGGCTAAATTAAAAGTGACCTCAAATTATAACTCAAACTTGAGTTACACCACCAAAACTCAACTAGGATGACAATGAGGCATAAGCTGGAAATTATGGTCTGCGGTCCGGTAAATTCTGGGCATTTTTCAATTGGAATTAGGCTGGGCTCAAAACATAAAATTTGTAAACCTTCAAGTTAGCAATGCACAGCTTTTGGAATCAATCAAATCCGATTACTCTAACTCAAGTTATAAGCATTTCACTGAAGTATGCCCAAAGCTGTTGACTGTAAGATAAGTGATAGTCATGACTCATTATTCAAAATTAGATGTAAATCAAAATAACAAAGTTGTGAGCCTGTTAAATAGCTTTACAACCTAACTTGAATGACATCAATTTGAATTGTATAGCACAAGTTATAGCCCAAAAACCGAATAAAGGTCCTATAAGGGTTTTTATGTTATCGGCCCAACATTTGGGCCAGTTTGGGACTTCCAGCAGGTAGAATTAGATTAAGTCCAAAACATGAAAATTGTAGTCCATTAAGTTAGGTTTAAAACCCTTTTTGAATTGGGTCATTCCAAGTTTTGTAGTTCAGATATTAGCATTTTATTATACAATATGTCGGAAGTTTTGAGATTTTAGTAGCAGGAAGATTATTTTTCATAATAAAATAACTACAGCTCCTTTATTGAATGTGAGCATACCCTATCATACTTAGGTGGATAACTGCCATATATTAATATTCTCAGAATTTTCGGACCACATATGTGGGAGATATTACAACCTGAAAAATCCATGCACTCATTTACTCATTTATTCATCCACATTTAGGACATGCCATTAATCATATGCATGGTTTTATTTTAGAAAAGATGTATCGGCCAGGTAGTGACACAATAGAACTGATCTTGATAGGACAAAGTACCAGCACAGGTGAGTGGCATCTTCCTAATCTTAGTTTATTTTTCAAAATATGTTTTCTAGTAAATAAAATTTATATTTCCAAAGATGTTCTATGTTAATATATAAAAATGGAAATAAGTCAGTTATGTTCTGATTTTAGCCATATGATGGATTTGATGATAATTACGATTTTTCTGATGTTTTGTGTTTCGGCACCAGAGTTAAATATCGGGCAACCACCTGGGGCAAGTGGTAGTTCCACATGCATCGCAGTATATGACATAACATAGTATTTGAATCCTGTAGAGGATTCTAGAGTATAACAGAGGCCGCAGACTGTGTCAGTCTAGTTGAGGGAATGGCGGCAGCTCTCAGTATAGATTACACAATGCAGTAGCGCCCGACATATTTTATAAATTTCACGTTTTTATGATTTTACTACCCTTAGATGCACTATTATCAGTTGTGCACACCGATTAGACCACACACATGATATGCACCATGATTCTTATGATTTCAGATTTCCTGTGCTCCTTTGATTTCTTAAAGATACATGAATCGATATCCTAATTTGATAATTATGTAGACATGATTTTTCATATATATATACGATTCTCCTAATTTCCAGATACATGATTTTATGGCACAGATGTGATTTTTCTGATCTAAGCTTTCTTATGAATTTCCAGATTTTCAGTATTTTCAGTAATATTGGTTTATCTCACCATCTGTTGTTACATAGACTTGATTTCCTTTAACAAAATTCATACATTATGTTTATTATGTCAACATTTTATGAAAAATGTATGTTTTGGCTATGTTATGATAAAAACCTGATTGTTTCCACTAAGATTAGGTAGCGTGCCATTCACTGGGACAAATATCTCATTCCCCATTTTTCCTATGCAAGAATTAGCCTGGACAGTAGTACTGCATCATATGTAGTGGAGGTTGGATTAGTACAGTTAAATTATTTTAAGGTGAGCATGTTTACTATTTCAGACGGTTGTAAAGGTATGCCAGATAGATAGGAAAAATAATTAAATGATAAGGGATCAGAGTAGGGTTACAATAACTGATGTGCTCCCATGTCAGGAATACAACAGTACGTCAGCTGCTGCCTGGCTGTCATATCTTACCGGGTTAGCGGAGGTGGGGCGTGACAAAAAATCTTATAAAAGACCACTTTATGAGCCAACCATGCATGAATTTATACATTTTCTATACACAAGTTTTCAAAGGGAAAAGCTTTCTTTCTCCTGTTTAACTATTCTAGAAATTTGAAATAGAAAAAATACCTATTTTTATATTTCTTTCTCCTCCTTGTCATATAAATTATTTTAAATTTTAAAAAATTATAATAGAAAATTGAAAAGAGTCCAAAATATTTGTAAAGAAGATTATTAGATCAATTTTTTTTTCTTTTTTGTATATAACTTCTAAAAAATAGGAGTTTGTGGCATTTTTGTGTTGTAATATTATAACATTGCTACTTATCACTCCAATTTTATAAAAAATGTACACTCACTATAAAGTTAAGGTGCAAAATTAGAAGTTTGTGTGATTGGAGAGCAAAAAGACTGGAAAAAGGGCTTACATCTCATTTTTCAATATTTTCACTCTATTCAACATTCTGTCCATTTTCTTTATATTTTTACTCATTTGTTCCATTATTTAATTCATAAACTCTAAATCACATATGCCAATTCATTTTATTGTTTCTTTTTATTTTTTAGGCAAATATAATGTATGACATTGTATGTTTTGAATGCATGATAATCCAATTTGTTTATTTTTTCTTTTCAAATATAATTTGTTTTTTTTTTTGGACGATAAGACCACAAATTTTTTTTAAAAAAATATTTTAAATTTTTATTATGTTTTTAGTTTTTAGTTTATTTTATTACTTTCATTATTATTGAGTGCAAATAATAATGTAATTTTTAAAAAATTTCTTGAATAAAAAGAGTATGTTTTATAAAATTTTTACGGAGAACAATTTTTAAAAATAATATCAAATATGATTGTAACGAGTTTAATTTTAAGAAAAACGATACACCATGTCAAGTACGAATTCATGCTTCTCAACATTCAAATGTGTTGAGAAATTAAAATGGTTAATTTGGAGGGGGGAAGACAAGATTTTTGTATTTGTTTTTTTTTTTAAATTGTTCTCTATTGTCAAAAATAACAATGTTTAAAAATTAAAATTTTGAATATGTTTATGATAATAAATTTAAAAAACTCTTACTAACTGAACTATTCATATAATTATTAGTGAAAAGATTTTTACCTAGATTTGTTTTATATAACTAAAACTTTATAAAATAATATTTAAAAGTTCTAAGTTAATAAAATTTGTAAAAGAAGTTATTTTTAGATTAACCATTGAGCTATTACCTTTTGAACAACAAATATTCAAATTAAATTAAAATAATGAAGGTTCCAAGGCAAGTTGCGATACATGTGCTGTCAGAATGTGTGAATGCCTTCTTCTTGGATCACCCTTTTCCACTTCCTTCACTCTTCACTGGACTATCAACATGGGCTCTTTCTCAGCAACCCTCAATCTGCTTATCCATAAGCTCCGGTCCTTCAGAAATTGCCGTCTTAATCCCTTAACTAAATGATTAAACCTCCTATCATCCAGTTAAACCGTTGCAGATCTCCATTTGGACATCATCTTCTTCAAATTATCAGGACTGCCGATGATGTTTTGTGTTGAGTTTTGAGGACTGTCATCACCATTGGTGAAAGAGGAATTTCCAATGCACTTCAAAAATTTAAAATAATAATAATAATAATAATTCTATTTGTGCCTTGCACTCAAAGTAACAGTTTTGTGGATAATAGAGGGGAAACAAAGATGCATGATCTACATATTTCTTAATGACGATCTAAAGGATGGATAATGGATCAAAGCCAATTCAAATTCAAGTGTTCCCAGTCCCATGAAGGCTCATTTTCAACCACATCCCAGGTCTCGCCTGAGTCAGTTACAGAATTGGGATTTGGTTGGTCTCCAGACGATGTGCTCTCCGGGGAGGTTGGTCTTCCCGTCCCTGGAAGGTTCTGATGATGAGACGTGGTCGCCTCAGCTGGAGCTGCTGATGGCCTTCTGTCGAACGCGCGCGGACACTTAGATTTTTTGTAGACTCGGCACAAACTGAACTCCTGCCTTAACTGCATAAAACTCACATGAAATTAAAGAAAAAATTTAAAAAATGGTAATTTCCATAAAATATTAAAAGCAGTTACAAATATGTAGTAATTTATTTGTAACTGTGCAAACACGAGCAAGTGTGTTATATTTGTGACTTCCTATAATTGTATATATAGGAATTGGTAAATTTAAACTACTATTTATCAATCCATAAAACTACTATTTATTAACCCAAATCTATGTTTATATAATGTATGAATTTTACGTTACTTGATATATTATCATTCCTATTAAAATAAAAAATGTTTTTCATAATTGTATTTAAACTCAAAATAACTTCTACTTTTCATAAAACTTTTTTTAAAAAATTCTATATTTTTAAAGTGCTTTCTTTGAAAATGTATCCAGATAAACCCTTAATTTTTCTGACATACACAGTAAATTATATGAGATGGTTTTTACCGATACTATAAGATAATTATCTTCTTAAGAAAATGAAGGCATGGTAAATAGTTGCACTTTCTTGGGCATTTCCAAAAATTCTCTTTTAAATTAAAAAAAAAATAAAACTATGACAAAGTGCTTCACACAACGATCATCTCTGTACATCCCCAAGTGGTAGGTTGGGCATTCAAGCATCATTTCAAGGTACATGCCAAATTTGAAACAAGTTAACTAATGAAATTTTTATAGTGGATGATACATATGAAAACAATCATCCGCAGCCAAAAATATCAAAAATTCATTTCAATAAATTTTATATATATATATATATATATAGTCTTATTTAGATATTCGACTTTCAAACTCCAAAAATTTTAGAAGTTTCAAAATTGAAATTTGTAGTTGTTTAAGTGCAAAACATATAAAATCAAAACCTTTCTGCTTTTTGTGAGACTAAAAAACAAATATATATTTCTAAAACACCGCGGTGAAACTGCAGGTCTACAAGCTGCCATGAAGAAGTTAAGAGCAACTTATTCTGTGCAAGTCGTACCTTCGGAACAGCACCACTTGATGAGGAAGCCTCTCCTTCTATGGCCCTGTATTCATTCATTTTCCATTCGGTTTTTCTTCCGGTGGGAGCTCTTCCTTGATAGAAGACCATGGTCCTCTTCATTCCAATGATTCGGTTCTGGGAAGAGTAAACATAACCGGGAGAGCCGGTGGCCTTCCAGTACCCTGAAGTGGTGAGCCGGTTCGGTCTCCCTCCTCGAACTTCTCTCTCTTGCCTTGGGATAAAGAAAAACCACTGTTCTGAGTCCATGCGACTTGGTTCTCCGGCAAACTCTGTGCAATAATTTCATCAAAATACGAAAAACTGATTAGACTTGTTAATTTTTTATTTAATGGATTATTTTAGATTAAAGTATTATATATCTTCTTTACTTTAGATAGTATCAATGAAGTATCCATAAAAATATATCTTGACTTAATACTCTTGGCAAAAGGTACGGTAAAGTATCAAACATAAGTTTATGCGTTTGCTTGCCATGATAGCAGACAAATTACGGGGAACAAAGTAAGAAGAAGAGTAACAGTTGAAAGAAAAAATAATCGGTGACAAACTAGCTGATTTAACAAAGTAAGAAGAAGAAACCCAATCTTTGAAACCTAGTTTAGAATTTCCAGCGGGGAAGAAAGTGAGACGATAAAAAGAAAGAACATACGTACCTGGGAGATCAGATGGACTGAACTCGTATATGTAGAGCTCCGGAATGACCCGGTCCAGGTCTTGTCGGGTTCCATGCAGCTTGTTGTGGAGATAGAACGATATGAGCTCTTCCTCTGTCGGGTAGAAGCGGTAACCCGGCGGCAGATTCTCCATTCTCTCTCTCTCTCTCTCTCTGTCTCTCTCTGAGAATCAACTACTTTCTTTCTTCTCTCTGCAATCCATTTCCTCACATATTTGAAGTATGCATATCCTCAATTGTTAGTCAACTTCGTGTTCGTCTTAAACATCCACTATGTTCTCTCTCTCTCTCTCTCTCTCTCTCTCTCTCTCTCTCTCTCTGTCTTTTCTTTCACGGTGTGAAAGTACGATTGACGGAGAAACGAGTGAAATGATAAAAAGCTCTACAAAAAAGGAAGAGAGAAATTATAAATTGATTATTATATATTAAGAGATTACATGGGATGACGTTCTACTATGTTAGCATGGATTATTAAATTCTTATTTCACTTTATATTCATAATTAATTTATTCACTTAAAATTTTTATACTATATCATTTTTGAAAATTTTAAACCAATATTATTTTGATGCCATAAAATGTTAATTTTATTTTTATTTAAATATTTATTCGATTTTCAGACTTTTTAGTATCTTACATTTGATTTTTTAAAAATTATAAATATGTAAAATTTTAAAAGACTTAACCAAAAACGCCCGCAAAAATATGCAAAGGGGGCACGGCGGGGCACTGTAGCGAGCGGGGCCTGCCCGGAAACTGCCAAGCGTCAACGTGGAAAACACCCTTGCCTCTAGTTCTCCCTGCCGTGCTTGACTGTGCGGACGTACAACAGACGCGCATGTTAGTCAATCTGCTGAAATTTCCTATGTAGTTACGCCCACCCTTTTCTACCTGCACCCACGCCTAATTTCCCTATGTTTGGCCAGAAGAAAAATGGGATTTGAATTTGGATTTGGATTTAAAATTCTCTAAATTTTAAATTCAAATTTTATGTTAATATTTTAACAAAAAATGAAATTTAATATTTATAAATTTTAGAATGGGATTTGAATTTGAATTTGAATTTGAATTTGGATTTAGATTTAAAATTTTATAAATTTTAAATTTTAAATTTATGTTAATATTTTGACAAAAAATAAAATTTAAAATTTATAAATTTTATTTAGTGTTTAAAAAGAATTGAGATTTAGAATAAAATAAAATTTGTACTATTATATCCATTAAAACAATTGCTTTTTTAGAAAATTTGTTAGATAGGCAACAATCCAACTATATCTTATTCTCTCTCTTTGGTTCTCTCTCTAAAACTTGGACGCAATATTTTCTCTCTGGGTTTCTCTCTCTCTTCTTTATATATATGTGTGTGTGTGTTGAGAAATCATTGAAGCAATAGAAAATCGGGTGCTTCATAATTGTGTAATTTATTTATTTTTCATCTTAATAAAAAAATATTAATGAGAGATTATAAGTTGGAAAAATAATTTAAAATAATTATTTACAATTTTGACAGGATTTTATGGCATTTCAACACTTAAAGTGAAATTTTATTAAATCCCATAAAATCTAAATCCTATTATTTAATTTTTTTTATCTAAATGATAAAAATGAGATCTTAAAATTTAAATCCTACTAAATCCTCTTAAATCCTGACTTGCCAAACGTAGTATTTAGAATCTTTATTAAAAATAAAAAGAAATCTCTCTCCTCAAGTTGTTTAAAATAGTTTGTATTACAAAATTAATATAGTATAACAATTTAACTAGCATTTAACTTAAAAATAAAATTAAAAAAGGATAGTATTACCATTATAGAATAAAATGGGGACAAAAAGAAAAACCTTTCCCCAAATAGTTCAAAATAGTTTATATTCAAATTTAATTAAGTCTAATGATAGATTTTTATACATAATATAGATGATCATAATCATATACACAACTAAAAAGGCATTAATTTATTTGTAAGCATTACAAGAAAACAATCCTTTAGCGATGAAAAATTTTCATCGCTAAACCAATAAAATCTGTCTCTAAATGCATTTAACAACCGAAAAAAATCTGTCAATAAAACGACGCTACTAATTTAGCAACGGAAATTAGCTATAGAAATTCTATCGTTAAATTACCAACAGAAATTTTGTTGCTAAATTATTGACAGAAATTCCGTTGCTAAATTCTGTTACTAAATTACCAACGAAAACTCTATCGCTAAATTACCAATAGAAATTCTGTTACTAAATTCTGTCGCTAAATTACCAACAAAAATTTATCACTAATTTTCCAACAAAAATTTCATCGTTAAACTCCATTGCTAAATTATTAACAAAATTTTATTGCTAAATTCTATCACAGATTTTGCTTTTGGTTGAAAAATCTACAATTAAATTTTTGTTAGTAATTTTTTTCCATTACAATTGCTTGTTTCTAGTAGAAACCTGTATTTCATTTTCATAATGTTTAATGTAATGAAAATAATACAATTTGCTCATAATTCATTAAAAAATACAATACAATCATATATTAATAGAAAATACAATACAATCATGAAAATTTATATAATATCCAACAAGTTTTCAAAGTCTTACTCTAACATATATGTTTACAAATTTAACCATACAACAACTACACATAATATAACAACGTTCTAGAAAACTAAAATAGAGAAATAAATAACAATCCTATTTTTAGTGACAATTAGTGAATTGATGAGCATCATGTGTATAAAAGAACTTGGATCAACATCTTGATTCATCCATTGAATAACATCTTGATTCATCAGCTTCCCATACTTTGCCAATTGCTCCAAACAACTTAGTTATTAATTCTCCATCTTCTTATGTTGTTGATGTTCCAAGGCTTATAACTAGGAATGTAGCCATAGAATGAATATGAACACCATGCAACATTAATGAACTTGACAAACAAACCAGAACAATGCAATCAAAACTGAAAAGATGAAAAATTAAGTTATTTGCTGCGAACCCCAAATACAAATTAATCTGGTAACAAATTAAACTTTTCACAATAGAAAACTTGTAACTAAGTCCTCTTAGCTTTACCATCAACAAACGTCAATGCTGTTGGTATAACTACTTGATTGATGGAAGAGAGCAGTCTTTCTAATAGATTTTATGATTGCATTAAATAAAACAAAGACAACAATATTCATGTGTATTGATTCTTAAAGTTACCACATAGTTCATATCTGAGATGAAACAATATTCATGTTGTTGTATGGATTTTCCACAAATACACAAAATGAATCCTAGCAAATCACTTAGGTTTTTACATACAATTTTTATTAACGAGAGCACACTCTCCCAGTTTTCCCACTACTAGAAAAATGCCATTTTGTGACCGCATGATCAGTCACTAATTTCAAAGGGCAACGGTCATTAAATAAATCAGTGATCGCATTTGTGACCGCCACAGGCGGTCAGAAAAACTCTCGTCACTAATCGGTTTTGTGACGAAGCCGGTCACTAATCAGTGACCGAATAAAATCGGTCACTAATTAGTGACCGCAAAAATCGGTCACTAATTAGTGATCGCCATTACTTCGGTCACTAAATAGTACCGCAGTTCTCTATCATTAATTAGTGACCGAAAAAACATGTGGTCACTAATTAGTGACCGATATGTCGGTCATTGATTAGTGACCAATTGCAGCGGTCACTGATTAGTGACCGATTTCGACGTTTACTGATTAGTAACTGATTTTAGTAGTCACTGATTAGTGACCGATTGCGGCGGTCACTAATTAGTAACCGATTTCAGGGGTCACTGATTATTTTAGTGACCCTTCTTATAACAAAATTAGATACACATTTAGTGACAAGGAATGCGGTAAGTAATTAGTGACCACAATTTTTCCGTCACTAGTCAGTCACTATTTAGTGACCCCCATTAAACCTTATATCCTAACTGCGTGCAGGGTCACAATTGGGTCACTAATTTTGTGACCTCCTTGTGACCTATTGTAGGGGTCACTGATGCTGTAACTGCTGTAATGCATATATATTATTTTAATTCCCATAATGCATTATAAAAAAATTCTTGTAATCCATTTATATAATCTCAATTGTTATTCACCAGCAGCATACATAAAAAGTAATGAAACTTCATCGTACAATTAGTTTGAAATGTCAAAATCTTTAATATTACAATTTGATAACTATTTTGCAACATAAAAAATGAAATAAGAATGTAAAGTATTAAAACATAATAATGTTAAACTGTAACTTCATTGCTTGTTGCCTTCTCCAGTGCTCTGATTTTGGGTTGATGATCTACCTTGCATTGTATTGAACTTTTCCATCATTGCAGCCATCATAGCCTCCTCCCTGGCATTCATTGCCTCCTCTCCAGCCTTCAGTGTCTCTTCTGCTAATTTCTTGGCCTCTTGAAGCACTTGTGCCTCTCTTGATACTGCTGCTTGTCTCTCCTTTGCAAGCGCTTTAGCAATTGCCTCTTGTAATTGATCTGAATTAATATATCCAAGAGGAGGTGCTGTAGAGATGGATTCAGATGAACTGCCAATAGAATGAAGCTCTCTGCGATGATAGGTGTTCCCAAAACCATAAATTCGATTTTTGCAAAGCCCACCACAAATTGCAACCCATTTTTGTGCATCAAATGAGCTTTCTGGAGTAAGATTGCTGCCATATTGATTGCAATATGAGTGGTCATACTCCTCCTAGAAATAATCAATGACAAGTAATCACATTACCTGATAAGACTAGAATAGAAGAATTAAAAAAATAGATTTTGGTTAGAAAGACAAACAAAACTGTGCTTGTAACTTAGCTGCAATATTGTTGTAACTAGTCGGAACTATGCTTGTAACTGAACAGGTCTAAGCCATAAGCATCAATTGGTTCAGTTACAAGCAGGGTTCTGTTTATTTACAAGCAGATCTCAGTTCAGTTCCAAGCATATCTTCTTTCAGTTACATGCAGATATGTCTCTCTATTCAAACAAACTAGGACCAACTCTTAAAGGCAATGACTTGTTCAGTTACAAGCATAGTTTTATACGGTTACAATGAGAGGCTCCTACAATTACAAGCACATTAAAGTTCAATTATGTGCATATATCTTCACTGATAAAACGAATTTTAATCCCAATCACACAAGCAAT